CTCCTTACCCTCTACAGTTCCTGGAAAAATAACTTAACATGCAAATTCCACTATTGATGTTGTCCTTACAAGTAAATGACAGGGACTCTACTACTGTCTGAGCGATGAGGGGAATAAGAGAAGAGGCGGGCACCTGAGGACCCCCATTTACTGAGCCGTCCTGTCACAGAAGAGGTAGGTAAAGTGAGAAGCCTTCACTTTACCTGAAGTTCTCTTTTGTCCAAAAGAAGAAAGACAGATATTAAGGGGTGTTTGCATGAAGTCCATTAGCTTTCCCAGAGCTAATGCTGGTACCATGTGGAAAGGAGAGTGTTACCGCTACACAAGGCAGAGAAGCACGCTGACAGTGTGTGGCAAGCAACTATTTTTTCACAGTGGGAGAAATGCTTATATAAGAGGATATTTTCTGAACCTCGTCTGCCTCATAGCATCTTCCAAATTTTTAGTGCTATAAGTTTCTCAGTGTAATTAAAGTCTGAGCTGATCTAATTAGATTGATGAAATTTTCAGTAGGGATTTAATTCCCCCTAGCACTTCACTTTCTTCTTCTCCTCCTTCTTTTTCTTCTTCTTTTTTTTTCTGGAATATTCCCTTAGGCTCATCCCCAGCAATTTTAGTGGCATCATTCAAAATTGCCTCATACCGGCAGGCCTCTGCTCAAACAATGCCAGCAGGTACATACCGCTAAAAACAAACTTCAAATGAAGGGGTCTAGGTTCTTTTACTGAATGCAATTCTTTCATACCTCTTCAATTTTATCTCCCTCCCAACAAACAATGTTAAATAATCTTCACTCCGCAGGAGGGAAATAGGTATTTCAGAGCATTTGGAAGCACAAAGAAATGCATACAGCAAGAGATTCTAGGGCAAGATTAATGTGGGAGTGGCATGACTGGTCTGTGCAAGTCATTTCCTAAGAGCACCAAGTCTTCATGGTCAAATACTGGGGAAGGAATACGTATTGGTGAGACTTCCTCTATCTTTGAAAATTCTATCTATCTATCTATCTATCTATCTATCATCTATCTATTCTGTAATAAGCATCTTAGAAGTCAACTCTGATACTCTTACACAGCACAACATGTTTGAAGCAGTCTAAGGTGAACGGGCAGGGCAGTGCACGTGCTCAGATAGACCCCAAGCATCTCCCCCCAGATGCCACGATTTATCTTTCTGCAGCATCGGCCACACACTTCTCCTGGTGGAGCAGGCACTCAAAACTGCTTGTTGGAAAAAATTAAATTAAATTCAAATGATCAATAACTCTTGAGCAATATACATTTTAGCTTTTACTCAATGTTATCGAAAATGCAATTAAAATGTAAACAAATGTTTCTTGCCAGAGCATGATTAGAATTGCTTTTGTACAAATCAGATTGAAAAAGCATATTGTTTAAAGGCCTGGCCTCCCCTAGAAATTTTATAGATGTGGGCTGTATATAATGGTAATTTATTATTTATAAATGTTCCTTTAATGTTTCTCAAATTTATATCCTTTGAAAGTAATATTCAGCGAGCTCAAAAGTGTCTCCAAAGCTTTTTTTGATTTATTTATAATAAAAATAAAAGTTCTGAAAAACTACTTTGATCCCCCAGTATAAATTCCTAGCCATTCAAAGTTTCCTCTCATTTTAAACAAAGTATAATGTATAAAATTCAGGTTAGATTTTTGTTGAGCTAATTTTATTTTATTTTGAAATTTGATAATCACAAAGAAAATACTAATATTCATAACGAGGGTCGGTTGCTCTACAAGTAAGCCAAGTCTTATTTCAAATCGTCATCTATATAAGGTCCGAATCCTTCTAATCATTATGTAAGTTTTTTTCACTTTAATCTTTTGAGAGTGAAGATGAGAACGCATGGTAGAGGTAGGCCATCGCTGTTGCTGTGCTCTGAGTGCCACTGTGGCCCGTGAAAGAGAGCCACCCATTCAACGGCATCTTATCTGATAGGATTCTGTGTTCTAACCCTGTGAGCCCTTCACTGCTCTTGGGTGAGTCAATGGACTTCGCTAGGTCCTTTCCCTCCTTCCAGAACAAGAAGATTGGGCTCAGAGGACGACTTCCAGGACCCTGCCTAGTCTAACACTCCAAAATTTCTTCTGTGATATCAGAGATGCTGTTATGAGTATTTCCCCTAAGACTAGTCATCCTAAGGGGATTTACATACTAGATTTAAAATATAAAATGTTATGAGTCACAAATGAAACCATAATTAAGGTTTTATATATGCAGTGCGCTACGGGGCAGAAAGCCCAACAGAGTTAAGGGAGGCTTACAGGGCTGAGTGTTAAGAGAGATGTGGTAAGAATGACCAAGGGCATGTTCCCCTCTTTTCAGAAATTCCACAAAGCTAGCTATCTGAAACAAGTGATTTAACTCAAAATCTATGATACTTTGTCACAATTTCATTTCAGAGGTAGAAAGAGCAGGGCATTCTAAATAGCAATTTGGACACGGAAAAAAACTATGACCCATCTGAAAGCCCTTCAGATGAGGACTATTTTGATTTATAGGATGATTGTGCCAGCATCTTTCCACTCTCTAGTTGCTGGAAGGAAATAAAGCACAAGAAATTACACATCAGAAGAAGTGCAGCACCTACTCCAGACGCAAGCCCCAGGCTGTGGAAGACACTTGGGACACACTCATCAACAAAGAGGAGGGATAGAGATCCAAACTCTACAGAGAAAATAGCACGAAGGAATCCTCATGGCATGGACTCAGTAGCTACCAATTAAATGTCACATGGAAGATACCTGACTTGTTTTTGCTATAGTGTTTTTGTGTGTATATGGTTGAAAGGCCCGTTGAAAAGAGATAAGTTCTAAAGTGTACGGACTACTCATTATCATTTAAACTTTAAAGGCATTCATCTGAAACAGTAGTTTTAGATTAAGGCAATCTACTGTAGCTTCATACACACAAACAACTGCCTCTCCCATGTCGAACTGCTGAAAGACCATGAGGTTCAGCTGGACTCAGGCTCCAAAGGCAGACATTCTCATGCTCTTACAAGATATCCAAAAAGGCTCTTTAGCTGAATTCCAGATTCCACTAGAGATACCCAGGCTCCCTTCCCTTTTGCCAGTTGTCATGGGCTGACTGTAAATAGATACAGCAGGGCATGGGGCTGACTGTAGGAGGGCCTGTTGAGAGTGAAAGTGAGGAAATGAGGTGGGTGGGGGTACGGTTCTGCGCTCATCCCCAATTCCCATCACTGGGGGTGGGTTCAGACGTCTTGTGAATTCTAATCATGTTTTTTACCATGTTCCTCCCAACTTGAAACACCTTTTCTTTCCCCTGCTGACCCAAATCACAGCTAACCCTCAAGATTTTCTCACTCAGCTCTGTGCATCCTCCTTGTCTGCTAGGTCTCTCACTGGTTTTGCTCTCTTTTGAGCCCCACTGGCTGCACCTGGGCCAGATGATTTAATCCCTCATTCCTCAGTCTATTGCACATTCCGAAAAACAGTCTCAATCTGTAACAAACTGAGGGGTTGCACAATTTTCTTAGGACCCTAACATGCATTTGTATCAGGACACTGTATATTATGGTGGCAAGGATCACAAAAGACTCTGAGGTCATATTCCTTGATTAATCCCTAGACCTTAATACTTCTTATATAAGATCTCACTCAAGAAACTTACCTGCTCCCAACTTCAGTTTTCTTGTCTGAAAAATTCAAATAATAAAATTACTACCTACATTGTGGAAATCCCTGGAAAGCTCATGCGATAGCATCAGGCATGAAATATGAGCTCAAAAAATGTCAGGAATATTATCATAATGATCATTTTTATTTTACTATGTCCACAGAGATTAACACAGTCCTGAGTCATACTACATATACTTAAAGAGTAAAAGTTATTCTCTGGGAGCAAATCAATCCCTCCCACCACAAAGCATTGTTACACGCACCCTGCCAGAAACACACCTCCTGGTATTTGTTAAAACCATAGCAACAGAGCCCCCTTAACACTCTTCTATACACATTTACATCCTGGGCAACGCAACACCAAGTAAGTTAACATACATGGAAGACAAGTAAGAATAACTCCAGCAGTGACTGTTTTTCATGGATTCTCACCTGAATCAAGTTGATATGATTGGAAAATTCTGTTGAGAATGAACCAAAGTATGTCAGCACTTACCAACAACACCTACAGCTAATCCCTAACAGATTCAGGTACTGAACTTGACATTTTAGAGGTCACCACCATGGACCTGCAGCTCTGTGATGCAAGAGGGGCCTCTGGCTCTAGCAGCCAGGAGAAAGCTGAATGAAAACAGGCAGCTCTATAGGAAAACATTCATATAAGTTAAAAATTAAGAACTTTGTGGTCTTTCTCTCCTTATACCCCAGCAAGATGAGATCCAGTCAAAAGTTACAACAGATCATGACATCCGAGAATGGGGGTGAAATTACTGCTATCTTTTAGCCTGGTCAGGTGAAAAGTAGGTAGCTATTAGGTAAGCTGAACAGATCACAAATAAAACAGCTTTACTTCCTTTGGAACATATTTAAGACACAGTAACAAAATAGTTCATCATACAGACTCATTTTTTATATAGTCTCTCTCTTATAGCTGATATTTTCCTTTTTTCCCCCCCTGTAATGCTCAAACAAGTCCCGGCTATCATATACGTAACAGTTGAGGCATTTTAGTGAAAATGAGCAAAGAGCATTTAGCTTAACTCCAGACACAACTTATCTTTGTGTTGGACTGTCTTTCACAGCTATTATGCAGCTGCCCATGCAAATCTCAATTGTGAACTACTTACAGACCCCTACAGAAGAGGAACTGAGTTGCTTCACAACAGCCTATGAGCTTCCCACCTGCCCAGACCCTACCAAAACAACAGTAGGACACTGAATTTAATTAAGGTTGTGTCATGTGACTCAAACAGCAGGTCTTCAGTAAATGTGCTTTCAGTCCAGATCTGAAATGATGAGATCATGGGTTAGAAATGATTCTGGTGACAGCGATAATTACCTCTTTGAGACAGCCCATAAAGTTGTTACTGACTGGTGACCCTGGAAGGTCTGCTGTGCTGGGACTGCCTCCGACATAGAAAAAGTCATCAGACCCCAGCATGGTGTAATCTTCTTGCGTGTAGCCCGTTGTGGTAAGAATCCCATCCACTGATATTGTCACCTAGATAACAAAGCACAGGGAAAGGACACGCTATACTCAGACCTAGATACTGTAATCCTGGGATATGCCTGTTTTGTGTTTTGTTTGTTTTATTATTTTTTTCATTTTGCTTTTTTTGCTTTTTTTTCTGTTTGGTTTTTATTTTTAGACCTATGGCGGAACCCATTTTCATGTCTGTTTCAGGTTTATTCTTGGATGCTAGTCAACTAGCCCTAAGAGAGCTAAGCTAGTTAGAGCGTTAACTGATTATCGAACTAGTGTCAGCATTGTCCCTACTGCAACTCAAAAGTTATTTAGCAGACACAAAAATGGTGTTAGTAAAATGCTTCCTAGGTTAGTTTTGCTGGTGTACATATTAGTAAAGTTTAGTCGTCTGTTATTGACTAATCACAACGTGCACCTTGTCAACATAAAAGGCACAAGCTACTTCCAGCAACGTCACTATTTGCACTATTGCGCAGTTGTTCAGCATGCAAGTGCCTACGTCCATGCGGAAGGGGAGGGGAGGCAAAACAACGCCCCGTGGAAGCGGCACACGCGGAGGTGCACATGCAGGAGGGACAGTACAGTTCAGAAAGGAAAGAAAACAGGGAGAACCAAAGGGAAAAAAAAAAAAACTGCTTTGTGATGACGTAAAGATGAGTGGGTGTGGCATCTCCAGCATTCCCAAATCAGGTGTGCATGCCATGCGTCATGAGTGGTCAGAGCCTGGCTGAGCCTGTGGTCACTCGGGCCGGCCACCGTTTGTCTTATATAACCCGTGTTAACCACAGCTGGATGCAAACGTTCGAAACGTTAACGATGCCCCTACAGGTGAGTTGGAAAACAGAGGTTGACAGGAACAGGTAAAAAATAAGAAGGTCAACAACGGATGAAAAGAAGGAGGTCAAAGTAAGCAGAAGAGTACCAACCGCAGTTCCTCTTTTGTTAATGATGTCTACAGTTAAAAGAAAGAAAGAAAACACACGGCAAACCCAAAATAAGAAACAATTAGAATGATATCTACCGAACAATGTAGTTTGTTTACCATAGCGTGTCCAATGCCTGAGTGCTTTGTGGAGAAGGGGGGAGAAAGGAAATTAAAAACTGTGAACAGAATAACGATCGTTACTTAAAAAATATGATGGTCTCTACCATGTTAGTACATTTTTTGATTCAGGTAACGGTTAGTAGAATGAAACATTCCATGAATGACATGTTAGTTATTAAGCATGTTAGTAACATAGAAAAAGGGCAAAAAAATTTTACAAGAAAAAAGCAGACTAACAAATAGGCCTCCCGCAGAGGTAATAAGTTTCCTGCCAGTATTGTTCATAACTTGCTATTAGACATAAACAGACATAAGGCAACGTTCCCTTTGTCTCCCTGAGTACATCTGACAGACATTTAAAAAGTTTAAAAGGGATTCAAAGGCCTAAAGCTCATCAGCTGACCACTGCCGCCCTGTGCCCATAAGTGATCCCTCCCCCACCCTGGCCCTCCCCAGCCCCAGAAAACTCATAGGAATCGGTTGGTATTGCCCTAGTACTCAATTTTACAGCATACAAGGACTCCTCCTCAACTTCAAAACTTCCTTCGGTCATATTGATGGACTTTAGGGTCACAGTTTACTGCAATGAAACAAAGCAAAGATCCTGACACATAAAATGAGTAGAATGGATTTGTTTTTAATCTGTCCTGCCACACATGCACCCCGGCTGGATAACTACAGTTTCCTTAGAGCTACCAAGTCACAGTTTGGTTTGTAACCTGAGCAAAGGCAAATCTAGAAAGTGGGCTCCTTAAGCCCCACCCTTCCTCCTGTGCTTCTCTCAAATGAACCTCTGGTCTCTTGGTGAGTATCTGAGAGAAGAAATAAAAAAAGGAAAACCAAAGAGACAGATTTACAGGACATTTGTGGTCTACAGCTGTACTGATGGTGGGCGACCATCTCCCAAGGCAGGTGAGACGCATGCAGGGCCCCTCCCATGTCAACAGGCCTCTCTAAGGTCTTTGAGGGGGTCTCAAGAATCCTTCAGTTTCACTTGTCTGTCTTAGCTAGACCATGTCTGCACTCCTAACATCCCTTTGTGCTCCGCTACCTTGAATAAGTTAAGCCTTTCAGAAGGGGGAAAGAAAAGGTTAGACAGTTAACAGCTCAGAAAGAGAGGGCTGTTTTAGTAAAGAAAAAGCAGAGAAAATCCAGGGATTCTGCAACTGTTCAGAGAAACAACAAATATGTTAAGGATATTAGTTTGCGATTAGAAAGTACTGCAGAAAAATTAGTCACTGTCAACACCAACATGATACATTGTAATATCATAAATTTTAAATAATAACCAAAACTTATCATGTTCACTATATAAGGACAATCTACTCACTTTCATCTGTGTATGTATATATATATACACATATATGTATGTGTATATATATATAGTAATAATATGTATTCTTTTAAAACATACAATATATGTGGACCCGTAGATTTACTAAAGAGTTGAGTTTTTTCTTATAAGATCTTTGAAAGATTTTTTAAAATATATAATTAAATAGAAAGGGGTACCTAGAACATGAATTGGCCACTCCAGACTCATTTGGGGTTTAGCTTAAAATGTCTGTGCTAAAAATAAAAATATCCTTATAAACAGACTCTTTGGGAGACATGTAAACTCCTGAAGTCACTTTGTCCCTCAGAAACTTTTTTTGTCCCCATTTCAAAGATGGGGGTTGGAAGGGAGTAGGGATTGATACAATCCCAAATCACAAACACATGTTTATTGACTACAAAAAAGGAACTGTGATTTAATGACCCCAATGTGCATGCTTCCAAATGATCACCATGAAAACTATAATTTAAAATCAAACAAATAAAAAATAAAAAAACACAACAAAATCACACACATCACAGGAAGGGCAGGTTGCAGAGATATTCTTGCAGCCCTCTGGGAAATTGTCATACGTTGCTGTATCAAAATAGCCTTTGGGCCCCCAGAACTTTCTAGATATGCCCCTGCTCAAGTATGGCAGGAAGATTCAGCTCAAAAAAAAAAAAAACAAACAACCAGCTAATTTGTAAGTGACTCTGAGGAGCCCTGTACCATGTTGTTAGGATTTTCGAGTAGCACACACACAGCTGTAGCGAGAAACAAGGCCAGTTACTCTCTTATCCACTGCGCTGTTACCTGACGCAGATTCCTGGTGACTTTCACATCATGCCAGGCATTATCATTAAACTTTCCATTCACGGGCTCCACTAGTGCTTCAAAGGCCCCTGATCCCAAATTAATGACCAGAGAGACAGCTCCATTTTTCAGGGCAAGATTGACATAATCAGCTGATTTCCCAGTGTGAAGCATCAGTCCATTCCTTTGAAGGGTTTTAAAGGACAGAGTTATTTCGTCACTGCTGCTCTGAATAGGGTTTTGAGACAAGTCGTAGCAGAAGTATTCAGATCCTTTGAAAGTGGCAATATATTCTTCTTTACCTAGAGGAAAACAGATACATACACGCATAAGTTAAGCAATAATTATACTATGTAGATCAGCAGATTTCTACAGAAAAAAATTATTCAGTCTGCATATTAACTCTTTGGTTAACAAACATTTATGACTGATGAAAGCCCTGTCAAAGAGGGTCAAATGGTACTATAGGTGGCACTGTATACCATTTACTAAACCTCCTCAGCCATTGGGCCATCCACTATGGTAGCCAAAGCTGACATTCTTGAAAATTCAATTAATTTTTAAGCATCACTGCAAGATCTCTGGTCAGAGAAGGCAGCTCTGTGGGATCTCCAGGGCGCGAACCAGGTGCCCTACATGCAGACGGGATGGTTCGACTTGCTGGCAACCACGGCCTCCAACGTGTTTGCAACATTCCCTCCATTCAACTGAGGCATTATTTTAATTTTCAGTGAGAAGCTTATAGTCAAAGATCTCAGTGAAGAGCCAAATATTTTCATCACTGAGAAACCATAACAAATTATCTGGTGAAGGGAAAGCAAAGAAAAAAATAAAATTAGAATTTGATCTGGGAGTAAACAGATCTCCTGTAGAGCATATACATTTTTTCTCCCTGGATAAAGGGAGCAGTGATAGAAAACTTAATGGAGTTAGCTGGATTGTTGATTCATTCTCTGATCTCACCAAGCAGATGGTAGGGCTGGCTTTTATGAGACTGGTAGGAATTCCAACACATCATCATGAGGATAGCATATAAATAAAATCTAAACATTTTCTATATACTGCAGTCTCTACCATATTTAGGAGTAACAATGTGAATCCCACAAGATACTAGACAGATCAAAAAGAAATGTGGCTATTTGGAAAGAACTGTATTCTCCCATTGACTTTAACCAAAGGAAAACTGTGATCCAAATGCTTCCTCAGCTTCCTGGGCAATGATGGCATTGTACCAAGAAAAAATGAGATGAAATGGCCTGGAATGAGCCTCTGATAACCTATAAACAGGGAACTACAAGTGGTACTGAAGAATCTTAATCCATTTCACTGGTAATATAGCATCTCTACTATGCCCACTGGCAGGTTCGTGTACCAAAAAGGTCATGCTGGAATGGTGGCAATAGTTTCTGTTTTTGTTTTTAATCACCAGGTTATTTTAATTTGATTGTCAGATAACTCATGTCTTTGTATCAGAGCTCAAATCAAGGCTTTAGCTCACCAGTGCCCAATGACCTGACTTCCTGGATTCAGAAAGTGCCATCAGTGGCTATAAGTAGACAACACATGGCACTGAGTAAGACAGTGAGCATCTAGGGACTTTCACGAAGGAGTGTGCCACTGCTTACTAGTAAACCATGAGTAAAGACTAGTGGTTAGGCCATACCTACCTACCACATTCTGAGTCAGAGTCAAGCAAAGACAACACGAACTATACACACAGTCCCTCCCATTCATACACTCAGAATATTGGCTGAACACCTCACAGGCGTTAAGTCCAGTGCTAGACTTTTAAGAGTGAGCCGAGACTGGCCCAATTCTTGTCTCTGAAGGTTTACAGTCTGGGTTTCTGCTTCTCTGGTGAGTTCAAAACAGCTAAGTATTTCTGATATACTGAAGGAAAAGGAAGGCCAAAAGGTGAATTTAGATTCTAGCACAGACACTGTTTAACTGTACTGCAGGCAATTATACGTCTTTTTACATCTCCGTTTCTTAAAATGCTTATTGATACCAATTTTTCAGGATAAAATGAGATGCCTTTAGAGGCACATGGTGGAGTCAGGGCATACCAGAAAGGGTAGATGGCTTGCTCCTTGCCTACCTAATATGGTAAATAACTTAAAACAAATAATACATGCCATACATTTCTGTGAAATTGAAAATATTTTCTTTAAGATCAGAAACAGAATAAGGATGCCCATTATTAACACACTATGTTTGAAGTCCTAGCTAATGTAGGAAAACAAGAAAGATATGAGTATTATAAAGTTTATAAGGAAAAGTAACACCATATTAGCAAATACTATTGTGTAAGTTGAAAGATCTAAACAATCTTCAAAAACTATTGAGTTTAATAAGATATTTCAGAAAGATTACAGGGTTCTATGTACTTGGGACAATCAATGTTTTAAATATATATAAATAGACCACAGATTCAACAAAATTTTAATGCAAATCTCAATGATTTTTTATGTTTTATTCTTTTTTATCAATGACTTTTTAAATGAATGTGAAAAGCTGATTCTATGACATCTATGGGAGAAACTAAAAGCCTAAATTAGCCAAGATATGACAGAGAAAGAAAGTAAACAAACTTTTTTATCTAAAGACGGGCATTTGTAAGAAAAATATAGTGATTAAGATAATGCATTAGGATAGACAAAAGGGGAAGAATAAAGATAATCAAGCTAAATATAACCTTAAATATCCTTAAATATATATGAAAATGATTTATATCAAGTCAAGCATTACAGATAAGTGAGCAAAGGATAAATTAATCAATAAATGGTCCTGGAAAAACTGGTAAAAATGGATGTTTATGTTATTTTGCTTACAAAAATAAATTCTCCATAGACAAAGCATATGAATTAGAAAGGCTAATCTGTAAAACTTTGAAAAAACAAGATATTATGATACTGAAGTATATAAAGAATTACAAAACAGGCATTAAAAAGTATTAATGAAATACTGATAGACTTCCGCCAAGATGGAGGTGTAGGTGGACACACTTTACCTTCTCGCACAACCAAGTCTATAAACAGCAAAGTTTTAGCAACAACAAACGTAGCCAAACCAGAGAAAATTGAACAATACAGGAGTCCGATAACAACTAACCTTTTAGCCAGACTGGTAAGAGGGGCGAGGCCAACAGTGGAGCAGGTCCAGCAAAAAAGATCCCCTGACCCAGGCAGCCAAGGGCGAATCCCAGGTGTGGGGTAGCAACGGGCAGACCCAGTGAAGGCACAAGATGGCTGGCTGACCTCGGTCACACATTTGTGTGCAGATAAACCAGCGAAGGAGCGAGCAGTGAGACAGACCAGGCAGGACCCAGCGGCAGGAAAGAGCAGAAGGGACCACCATTGCTTCCTCTCTGACCCCACCCCCACATACAGCCTCACAAATCAGCAACCTGGGTGGCCCAGCCCTGGTGAACATCTAAGGCTCCACTCCTCATATGTAACAGGCGCAAACAGATCAAAGCATTATGGCTCAAGAAGAACTCAGAGCCCCAGAACACATAAATCTAAGCGAACAAGAAATTGCCAACCTATCAGAGGCACAGTTCAAAACACTGGTCATCAGGATGCTCACAGAACTGGTTGATTTTAGTCACAAATTAGAGGAACATATGAAGGCCAAACTAATTGAAGTGAAGGGAAATGCACAAGAAAGCAATAGTGATGGAAAGGAAACTGGGACTCAGATAAAGGGAGTGGACCAAAAGGAAGAAAAAAATGACCAAACAGAAAAATATGAAGAAACAAAAATTCAAAAAAATGAGGAGAGGCTAAGGAACCTCCAGGACATCTTTAAACACTCCAACATCCTAATTATATGGGTACCAGAAGGGATACAGCCATGAGTGGAAACCTTATTTGAACAAATAATAAAGGAGAATTTCCCCAATCTAGAAAAGGAAATAGACTTCCAGGAAATCCAGGAAGCTCAGAGAGTCCCAAAGAAGTTGGACCCAAGAAGAAACACACCAAGGCACATCATCATTACATTAGCCAAGATTCAAATGAAGGAGAGAATCCTAGAAGCAGCAAGAGATAAGGGGACAGTCACCTACAAAGGAGTTCCCATCAGACTGTCAGCTGATTTCTCAAAAGACACCTTACAGGCAAGAAGGGACTGGAAAGAAGTATTCCGAGTCATGAAATCCAAAGACCTACATCCAAGATTGTTCTATCCAGCAAAGCTTTCATTTAGAATAGATAAAGTGGGCATTTCATTTAGGGCAGATAAAGTGCTTCTCAGATAAGATGAAGTTCAAGGAGTTCATCATCACCAAGCCATTATTATATGAAATGTTAAAGGGACTTATCTAAGAAAAAGAAGATAAAGAAGATGAACAGTGAAAGGACAGCAAACTCACAGTTACTAAGAACCACACCTAAAACAAAAGCAAACTAAGAGGACAGCTAGATCAGGAACAGAACCATAGAAATGAAGATCACATGGAGGGTTAGCAACAGGGGAGTGGAAGAAGTAGAAGGGGGGAGAAAAATAAGTAGCATAGACTGTAGATTAGAAAATAGATAGGGGGAGGGTAAGAATAGTAGGGGAAATATAGAATCTAAAGAACTTGAGACACGTGGTCATAAACTAAAGGGGGGGAATGGTGGGGGAGGAGGTGTGCAGGGTGGAGGGGAATGAAGGGGGGAATAGAACAACTGTAATAGTATAACCAATAAAATATATTAAAAAAAAGAAATACTGATAAATTCAATCATACTAAAATTAAGAATCCCTATTCATAAATAATATCATAAAAAGTAAGAATCTAAAGTAAATTTTGGGAGAAAATATTTTTTACATGTAGATATATCATATATAGTGATTCTCTTGTCTGAAGATGATATTTGCTAAATTTTTATTCCCAGTGAACTTTCAGAACAGGTCCTTGAGCAACAGGGAATTTTAGAGAATCTCCTGTGGCCCAAACCTTTAGTTTACCTTATCAATAAGAAAGTGATGTCCATGGAGTTTAAATGACTTGTCAAGTTCATGGACATACCAGTAACAGAAACAGAACTAGAACTCAGCCTTCTAACTACCTTTAGAAAATATAAAATGAAGTTTGGAGACTTGATGAGGTTTGGTCTAATTAAAAGGCTGTAGCATTTTATCCATGTGACCTCATATCATTCCAAGTCTACATAAGTTGGAATAAATCTTGACAAGAGATTTGTTTGCCAGATAATACAGTGGAGTGAAAGAAAATTGTATTAAACAGAGTTTGCAATTCACTAGATGGCAAGCTATTAAGATATGAGTGTTGACTGTCAACACTATGATGTGC